TCCGGTCACCTTGTTTACTTTGACCCCTTTGGCCTGTGATGCACGACGCATTACCTCCCGCACAGTCGTGAGACAAGGCTGTCAGGATGCTCCTCAGGTGCAAGAGATTCCTCGATGATTTCAAGCGGCGTCTCCCGCCTTGATGATTTCAAGTAGCGTCTACCCCCTTTCGCTCGCTGACTGGGATTTCTCCAATCTCCCGCTCCCTCGCCACCTACTCCACGGTCCACCTCTGGCAAGCAGACACGTGATCCCACTGTTTTCAACCCGCACCGTCTTCTTCACCTCAGCGCCTTCACACCAGTGCCACGCTAAGGATCAGCATGCCTACGATTTCCCTCTCCTGCATGGTCGCTGTCAGCCCGCTCAGCAACACCTCTCTGGTTTTCCCTCACTACGCCTGTTTCAGGCTACCAGGGTAAGACGTAGCATTCTCATGTCTCATTCGAGTCTCGCAATACTTCGTAACGCAGACACTTTTCATTAGTTTATCCCCTCCCGAACACTTTGGCCGTATATACATGCGCCACTCAGGTTCTAATGTTCAAGGACTTTTATCCGAACATTGACTTAGTTAAAACATCGTCACCTGTTTCTTCGAGGTGCCTTTAAACATAACATTGGTTCAGCAGGTGACCAGCTGTTGCGTAAGAGCTGCAAGGCATATGTTAGAATCCAGTCAGCCATGGAGGGATATCTTCCGTATAAATAGCAGATGCATGTGCACTCAACTGCGAGCAGTGCAGCCCATCATTAACGGGTCGTTTGGTCACCGCAGTTATCTATCTGCTTCACATTAGTTATTCGTCGCTAGTCAGCGCACTATTCTTTGTCGTCTGAGCTGTATTATAATTTATGCTACCCAGGCCCGGCAGCACGGGCGGACACTTCAGTTGTGTCCCGGCTGTTCTGCAAGCCCCGTGTTTTACCTACATGGCCAACTCTTTGATATTCCTGCATCGATTTGGTACCGGAGTTTCCTCAATCTCCCTTATCGCGTCCTCTGCTCCCTTGTTCTGCAATTAAAACAGTTTTTATGTGCTGTTAACATATCATAATCTATTTCAAACCGCCTTCAAACGCAACTTGAGCCCGGAGACGTTCACACCAGTCGCCAACGGCGTAGGAGCCGCTAGTATAACGCCAATACTTTGCGTAATTTAACCGACCGAGTAGAGTAATGCCGCTGGATGCAGGTGATGTTAGCTTAGTTATGACTAATTTCAATACAACCCCTTAAGCTTGTTAACAAGACGCCCGTGACCATTGTCGTTGTGTATGTTCAGCTACGTAGATTCATTCTGCCTGTTGAAGATTTTAGGTTGTAATTTTGGAAAATCTCTGGCTCCATCTTCTTCTCACGGATCCCAGGTTCTCCAGCGGGCCGAGTTAAATCACACAGAAAACGAGTGTAGACATCTCAGAATTAGAGTTTAATCCAAAGAAGACTCGTATGAAATTACAACAGAAACTGCAGAACAGAGACATGCATTAATTTACCTGAGTCGAATGGAAAGAAGGAAGAAAGAAGCAAAGACGTGCTTGGACGTCTTTGGAGAATTACAAGAGCAAATCCGAGTAGTTACTGCTGTGTACAAAGTTTTATAGTAAAGGCGTATTCTAGACTTTTATTTATTCTAATAAGGCGTAGCTTTGCTCATCCAACCAGGAGTTGTCTCTGATCCTCTTTAGAGTTAGACACTCCCTGCAATTTGTTTTCAAGATCAAGCTCAAACTGCCACCTTTATCTAAACAAGTGGAAGCAGAGCTTCTCCTCTACTGGCCTGGACTCCTGCTGTTTCAAGGCTTTTCACAGATCAGTGTGAAAGCTGGAACTTCTCCTGATTTCCCACACAAAGGGCAGTTCAAAAGATCTCGGCAAACAATCTACTTTATCTATAGGTGACATAAAGATTAACAGGACAGAACAAGTTATTAATCTGAGAACTATAATTAGGCTTTCCAATAAAGACATGGCAAGTTTTTAAAACTAGCATATTTTAAATTTACTCCTTATCATGACCTAAACAGTCAGTTCAATCAGCTAATCTCGTCTGGAGCAGGGGTTCGCGTCTCGGCTGGCCTTCTCATACCGCGGCATGAGGCATAAATTGTCATTCACCTAATTGTGGACTTTTACCCTGTTGCGGCGCAATACGTGTAGTAGAGTGGCTTGCCAATGTAACATGAAGTTGACTAATAATTCCTCTTCAGTTCGGTTGAGTCTGTCCAGCGTTTCTGCTAATTAT